ACCCTCTCATACACACACAGCACACACACATATCCTCACTTGCCTAAACCCAAACAACTGCTCAGCATTAAGGTGTGGATCTGTCATTAGTTAGCTTGGCCCGGCTGGGTGAGACCATTGTTATTGTTAAAGCGAGGGCTGTTTGCACAAGCCATATCTTCGGAGGGGAAATGGTACTCCTTTGCGGCTTTTTCGACTCACTCGGAGCGGATTGGGTTTCCTCTCGCTTTACCAGCTTCTTGTACACTGTGGTATGACCTGCTAATGCACATATTTTAATCAGCAACAATTCAGGTTGCTGGGAAATCTGTCCAAGCTCGTGAAGTGCTAAGATCTGCTTTTTTTTCAGGATTTAGTCTGATGGAGAGTGTCGACTCGCTAACTTTTGAATGGGACTGCATAAGATGATTTTTAGCTTGTGGAAACTGAAATACTGAAAGCAGGAATAAAAATCTAAAAGAAAGGGAGAGGCTGGCAGCAGGAGTTGGGTCAGTGATGGATGGTAGACAGAGAGATCCTCTTTGGGAGTTGCCTGGGTCTTTCCTAAGTGTTGTTTAAACAGCATGAGGAGAAGAATGACGTTGGGTCAACAGACACCCGGTGCCGAGACTCTCAGATCAGAGTGGAACAGACACAGACAGGCTGGACATGGTTATTAATCACTCTGAGTTTTCTAAGAATGGCATGTCACACCTATCTGAAGACTGCAGGGACTGAGAGATGAGACACTTCCCTCAGATTCATGCTTAGGTATTTGAATACCTCTGATCGCCTACTATCCATCCTGTTGTCATTCCACAGCTGCTACATGAAGTAAATGGTCTTTCTAACAAGGTGGAATTTGCAGCATGTTATGGAAGCAATCACTCTGTTTCTGAGAGCAGCAGGTTGATAAGATTGTGTTCATCATTTCTGGTCAACATGAAAGCCATCATGACAGTTGCTATGATCAGTAAATGCTACGTTTTTAATGACAAAGAAATATACTGACTCAAGTGTTGTTTCTGCCAACGTGCAACAATCTATAAAGCAATGTCATACCTGGTACCTGTGAATCTGTGGGATTTTTTTTTTTTTTTTGGTATTCAGATAGAACTGCTGTGTGCAAAATTCCCCTACAAGGCTTTGTTCAAACATAGCAGGACCTAGTCGGGTACAGACACAACGCTCACACGAGACAGACACAGCAGTCTGCACAGAGGATGAGCAGTCCTTTGATTTCTATGTCAGGGCAAATTCCAGCCCGTGTTAGCTCACGCGGCTAAACCTATACCTAAACTTGTGCTAAACCTTTCCTGTACCTATTCAAACAAAACTTTGTACTAGCTAATGATGATACGTTCTTTTTATCCTTACGTCCAAATTTCACTGCCTGCCAAAAATACTGTATACATCACTAAGAGAGAGTCGAGTGAGCTAGAGGGTGAATGGAGAGAGGGAGCAGAATTAAAGAGAACAAAGCAGTGAAACAGAGAAAACGTTGTGCTGCAGCACTGTCGTCATCTTGACGGTGCTCTTACCGGCAATTTAACCACTTCAGTTCAGACGTGTAGCCAGTGAGAATGCAGTTGGCTATTTGACTGGATCCTACCAGGTAAAATTGCCAGTAACACTTTGTTGGCTACAGAGGCAAATTCCTGGGTGGCAATGCATGTCTGAGAGGGGTTACAGTGTCACAGAGATACTCCACTGAAAAGACTATTTATTTATGTGTGTAAGATTGAAAGGTGGCTCTGAAATGTTTGTAACTTGCATATTTTGAATGAATGTCAAAGGAGACCTATAGCAAATTGAATTTGTGGTTTCACTCACAAATGAACAACTCCAAATACACCAACTGAACTAATTTATGCTGTTTAGGTGGTGTGCTGATAAGGTTAGCAGTGTGGTTGACCATCTTAAAATAAAGTTGGAATACCAGGACATTTTCCTGTTCTTCTCACTGTTGTGACACCAGGTGAATGCAACGTATATAGTCTTAGTTTATTCTCCACAATAGACAGATGATGTTACCTATGCCAAAATCAATTCATCAGCTTATTGTTATTGCATCATTATTGCATAATTACTAAAATCATATTTAATTTTGCAAATGTTGCACCTTTAACATATAATATACAATATATCTGAACTCTGGACACACATTCGTCACTCCCACAGGTGTGAACCACAGAAATGCAAAGCAGGCTCAGTGGGACTCCCACACAAGAGCAGACAAGAGTTTAGCAGTTGACTTCAACTGTTTGCTCAGATATTTTACGCTGTAGCTCCAAGTCAAGATGAGAAGTTTCCCAAGACCTCACCCTGCCTGCCCGACTGCACTCACCATCTCTGGCCGCCTGAAAAGACCAGAGTCAATTGCTCTCTCATCCTGCTGCAACTTGGAAGCCACAGATAGTGCTGCTGAAACAAGTTCGATCAAAATTGGGGAAAAAAAATCTGCCAGTTTAAGGAAGAGGATTTGTGAAAGTTACAGATTTGAAATTAAATATTCACTGTAGAGACTTGGGCTTTCTGAGTTTATCATCCAACAGTTGTCATGTAACTCTGTGACATGAGGAGGAGGAGGAGGAGTGGATTCAGTTGTGTTAAACCATATGTTTGGGTTAGATGTTTTTTTTTTTTTTGCCAGTTTTGACAATATATCTCCTGTTGCCATGTGTATGTCTATGTGTGTCTGAGGCATGAAGATCTGCCCGGTGACTGCTGAGCAGCTACTCTGCAAGGTCAGGGCTCACTCAGTTTTTTTTTTTATGCTTATGTAGTTGTCTTGTTTTCCTTATCATTGCCAGTTCTTCTGGTTCTGCTTTTCTCCATCTTCCTTCCTCCCTCACTCGGTCCTCAGACTCCTTTCTGCCCATTTCTTCTCCTCATTCATCCACCTCACCATCCTCCCACCCCTTCTCTTTCTCCAATAGCTGTATTTACTCTGTAAACAGCAACACCGTGTTTTCCACCTCTCTGCTGCAGCTCTGAGTCAATGTGTTCATGCCTCTGTTGCTCTACATACAAACACCGCAGCGTTTTGGTGGCCCTGTGTAACGGCATGCAGCGTGCACACGACCACAGTGACGATCCCACAGAGCTAATAACGCTGAGCCAAAGTGCTCCCTTCTATTTGTGTTCAAAGTGAGTATCTTAAATAAGCATGTCTCATGTAAATAAACCCGCAGAGGAATGGAGGAGTTGGTGATGTTAGGCATTAGTGTTTTGGAACCACAGAGATAATTGGTCAGGAAAAGAAAGAACTACTGAGTGATTCAGAGCTTTAGCAATCAGACTAATACAAACACTAAACGCAACATTATATTAGTCAAAGACAATCATACTTTCTCTTTTAAACACAGAACAGAGAAAAGGGGAGAAAGAAAAAGCAGGAAGATTTGTATCTGTGGTTGTGCACGCCTGTATGTGGAGCGACAGAACAGGCAGCGGTTAAATTAGTGAATCTGACATCTGTGAGCTATTAGAAGCAACTTCAGGTAGCACATGTTGTCCACATTAGCCTGAACTGAGATTTACATTTCCACATCTCCACAAAGCATAATAAACAATCAAAGGGGGCGTGTGCAGGCAGGTCATGTACCAGCAGTGACCACTGCAGAGCGCAGATTACTCCAACTGGAGGGGGGCATTGTGTGTGGATGGGAACAAACTGTGTGCCTGTCAGGTGAGGATTCTAAAATCTGAAAATACCATTTAAAACATATGATCAGTTTATAAAATTTGCTTTCGTGTAGATTTAAGCAGGTATTTCAAATTACCACCATCTGCAACAATAAAATGTTTTACACATTTATGCATCAGTAATAACAATCCAATACTGTAATGGGTCATAATAATACTGAAACGGGTCATTCTGGTGCATAATGCATCATTTTTCTGTACACTGAGTTAAGATTTCAATGTAGGGATTGTATCTGTAATGGAGTATTTTTCCATGCTACTGCTGCTTTTCTTAAGTGAAGGAATTGAATACTTCTTTCACCAGAGACAGACAAGGGGGGGTGAAGCAAAAACTATGTTTCTCTTCCTGAGATGAAGTGCAGAAAATTAAAGCTCATGGTTCCTTTAAACAGATACCAAATAAAGTAACACCTCAGTCTATAAATAAAAACCATATTAACAGACTGTGTGCAGACTTATTGGAAGTGAAGTTTTACAGTAAATATCTGTATAATAATCTGTAAAATGTTACAAAACAGTGTAACATAAGTCTTAAACTTGAGAATATTTGAATGAAGAACAGTTGGTCAAAAGGTAAAGCCAGTGAAGAAGGTGCACAGTCAGCAAACTGAACAGAATCCGCTGTTCACTGGATTATTGCTGTTGTTGGAAATGAGATGAGTGATACAAATCAGAAGCTGATGTTTGACAGCAACTGTTGCACTGCAGTAGTCTGCCAGAGTTTGCTTTCCCTCCTCCTTCTTCTGCTGCTGGGTTTCTAGGATGCTGTCTCCCCCTATTGACGAGATTACGTATCTGTAGCTATGGGACCAGTGTGGAGAAAGGCACAGAGTATTTTTAAAGCAGAAACTCAAAGTGTGTAAAACTCTTTAGTATATTAAATATCCCAAATGCCATAGTTTTAATGATAATCTTTCTTTTGGTCCCGTCTTTTACTTGCCTCATTCTTTTGTAATTCATTTTTCACTGTGTTTTTTTTTTCTTCATGATAAAAAAGGTCACGTTTAGTTATTTACAATATATAAATATTCTAGAAGTCTGATTAATTGCTGAATATCACTGTTTATCCACACAGCAGAGAATCCAGCAGATTTACACATATATATGGGTTGGATGGCGCGCGCGCGTGTTTTAGACAATGTTTTCTGTGTTAGTTAGGAGCATGGTCAGAAGAGGGAAAAGTGGGATCGAATTCCTTTACTTTGGCGTCACACGCTGTCAGCCAATCAGAATCGGCTTTTCCTGTCCGGCATGATAACGTTGTTATAAAGCCTGCACGCACAACCTTTACAGTTCAAAGCACTCACGCGTACTGGGGATTGTACTTGGAAATTAGAGAGGAGCACTTTACCGTTTCATCCTGCAGACCTGAAAGCAAACTCTCACCAGCTGCTTGATTTTGCCTTTTACAAGTGCGGATCCGTTTGCAGAAAGCACGCTCATCCAGGGAGTCTGCCAGAAGCTCGTGCGTAAAGACACTTGTTGTCCAAATTGGTTTTACGCATCGGAGCAAAAGAGAATCAACCCCCGTTTTGTGTGCTTATTTAAGAAAGACTTCATACAAACACATCCTGGCAAGATAAAGTCGTCTTCAGGGGCTCTTCCTCTCGCGAGAGCGCAGAATCAGCTCCTTCGTTTCACGCGTAATTTGGCACCAAACAGTTTTTCGTATGAATCTCCTCGACCCTTACCTGAAGATGACGGAGGAACAAGACAAGTGTCTCTCTGATGCCCCGAGCCCGAGCATATCCGAAGACTCCGCGGGCTCCCCTTGCCCATCTGGGTCGGGCTCCGACACGGAGAACACCCGGCCGTCCGAGAACGGGCTGCTCAGAACGGACGGAACCCTAAGCGACTTCAAGAAGGACGAGGACGATAAGTTTCCCGCATGTATCCGCGAAGCTGTGTCCCAGGTGCTCAAGGGCTACGACTGGACCCTCGTGCCTATGCCGGTGCGCGTTAACGGATCTACTAAGAACAAGCCTCACGTGAAGAGACCCATGAATGCCTTCATGGTGTGGGCTCAGGCTGCTCGGAGGAAACTGGCAGATCAGTACCCACACCTGCATAACGCGGAGCTCAGCAAAACTCTGGGGAAACTGTGGAGGTAAGTGTGAAACGCTCTTCTCTTCAACTTTAACGCACTGTGTTCTTATTGTGCCGCCTATCTGCTGATCTATTTGCAGCCAATTTTCCTTTTAAAACCTTAAAGCTTAGAATTGTAATCATTCTCGTCTTATTTTATTATTAACCTATCTAATGTAAATGACTGCAGAAAATTAAAATGTTTAAAGTACAATAATGGTACTTTTTACGCACAGGCTTCTCAATGAAGGCGAGAAACGGCCGTTTGTGGAAGAAGCTGAGCGGCTCCGGGTGCAGCACAAGAAGGATCATCCGGACTACAAATATCAGCCCCGGCGGAGGAAGTCGGTGAAGAACGGACAGAGCGAGCCTGAGGACGGCAGCGAGCAGACGCACAATGCCATCTTCAAAGCGCTCCAACAGGCGGACTCTCCGGCCTCCAGCATGGGAGAGGTGCATTCTCCGAGTGAGCACTCAGGTGAGCAGAGAAAGTAAAAAAGAACTGCTTAGATATGAGGCCCAGTGCCTGTGTGAATGCCTCATGTAGCCTACTTTCCCTTTTCTCATTCAAAAATACTACAATTTTATATAGTTAATTCAGCTCTAGTCCAACTCCATTACTTTGTTTTAAAAATTTTAAACTAAATGAATATATAAAAACTGTCTATTTTTTTAACTTCCAGGCTCCCAGGGGCCCCCTACCCCTCCCACCACGCCAAAGACTGATGTCACCTCAGGCAAGATGGACCTAAAGCGTGAAGGGGGGCTCCGCTCTCTGCCCGATGGGTCTGGTGGGCGCCAGCTCAACATCGACTTCCATGATGTGGACATTGGTGAGTTCAGCAGCGATGTCATCTCCCACATTGAAACCTTTGATGTCAATGAGTTCGACCAGTACCTCCCACCCAACGGGCACCCAGGCACCACGCCAGTCAGCTACACGGGCAGCTACAGCATCAGCAGCAGTGCACCCGTCAGTCCACAGCCAGGAGGTGCCACAGCCTGGATGGCTAAGACTCAGAACCCACAGGGACAGCAGCAACAGCAGCAGACTCTGACCACTCTGGGGAGCAGTGGTGGCTCAGAGGCAGCTTCTGCCCAGCACAGGACCCAGATCAAGACAGAGCAACTGAGCCCAAGTCACTACAGCGAGCAGCAGGGCTCCCCGCAGCACGTCGCCTACAGCCCCTTCAACCTGCAGCACTACAGCTCCCCCTCCTCCTACCCAGCCATCTCCAGGGCGCAGCAGTATGACTACTCCGACCATCATGGGGGCAGCAGCACCACCGCCTCCTACTACAGCCATGCGGGGGCGGGGCAGAGTTCGGGGCTATACTCGACTTTCAGCTACATGAGCAGCCCCAGCCAGAGGCCCATGTACACACCCATAGCCGACACCACGGGGGTGCCCTCCATCCCCCAGAACAGCCCGCAGCACTGGGAGCAGGCTCCGGTTTACACCCAGCTCACCAGACCCTGAGTGACCCGGAAGACTGAGAGACAACACACACACAAACAATGACATGTACAGCCATACATATGCAACACACACCACACTCCAAAACACTTTACTCCAGGGAGAGGCTGTCCCCTGAATCAGACACTTGAATTCAAAGAGGAGAGCTGGACTTGTGATTGGCTCACGTCGTGCCTTGCTATTGTACCATGACAGAAACTCTATATATTTTTAGAAAAAAAGACTTAAGAAAATCCTCTGTGAGGACTTATTGTTTGTTGATATTTGAGTAGGTAATGTTTATGTTTCTTTTTGTTTCTTTTATTTCATACGCTGGCAGTTTGTAATCCATGAGGGCATGGGGGTGGGTTTGGGTTCGGGTAATTATTTGTGCCTGTAGATACAAAATAAAAAAGCTTTATATGTTAATCAGTTCAGCAAATAACCTCTCATGGTAGTGCAGCGTCTGTTCCTCTGTTTGATTTTCTGTGCCATTCGGCCAATATGGTTTGTATTTACACTGTCATGCTGTTCATTTTCTTACTCAAACTATGTGTCACGATCATTGGAAGTTATTAGGCAATGCAGAGAGAGAGAGAGAGAGAGCGAGAGTGTGCGACGTGATTTCACAATGCTGTGCTGTCTTGACGAGGGACTGCAGCCCACTTCCACCATCCGTGCCTTGGATTTTACATTTTGTGTGTGTATGTGTGCGTGTGTGTGTGCGCAATGGCCACAGCTGAGATTACTTTTACCGTCCAACAGCATGTGTTTGACAGCTACAGGAAGTCACCTTTGACCCCTTGGGTGTCTCCCCTGCAGTCTACCGCCATGCTGATGTCCAGTACTCTCCCTGGGTCAAACTCACTTTTGAAACGTTATTTATTTATTAGCTTTAATTTTATTTTAAATAATTATTTTGCATACTATTCTTATAACTAATGAATTGTCCTCTTTGGAGTATAGATGGCATATAATTTCCCTTTTTTTAAATTTGATTTTCAACCCTGGGGTACTTAGACAAACTGGTACAAGCTGTAATCGTCTTTTTTGGTTTATTTATCTTATCTAAAAGTCTATTTTAACTGTGTATTTGCCTTTTTATGAGGGTCACAGGGGCTATCTAATGAAACACGTACACATTCTTTATTTCTGCATTCTTCTGATTTCAACGTTAACGTATGGCTGACAGAACTGGAAAATGCTATCGCAGTTTCAAGGTTTTTACACGTTTTCTGTCCTGTGTAATCACCCGAGGGGGCGTTTTTCTTTCCGCTTTGCAAGCGCCATTTCCTTTTTCATCGATATCAATGAACTGATGTCCCTAGTACTTTTTTTTTCCTTCTGCGATCGTGCCATGTATTTGTACTGTCTTTAAAGAATCTTTTGTATATGTATTTGCAATAAAAAAGAAAATGCTATTAAAAACAAAGTTTGTCATTTACAGGTACGTGTGTCTTAGGATAAAATATTCTGTCATTTAGCATCATAGTTTCTTAATAACATGACATTAAACTACCTTAAAATAATTCTTATTTCCTGGTTTTTCCAATTGTCAGAGTAAGTGAAAGGGTTAAGGGAAGAGTGCCAAGAAGTAGGACTGCTGTTTGTTTTCTCAGAAGCCTCATGTTTTTTCCCCCACTTTTATTTTCTTCCTCCCTCTTGTCAGCTGGTAGCAGCTGGGGGTTGCGAGGCTCCGGGGGACCTGCAATGGGGTTCTTTATATAGCATTGCAAATGTGGTAAAAGTACTGAAAATAATCCGAATTTAATTCAATAGCTGAGAAAGAAGAAGTAGGATGGGCCGCTCTTGCGTAGATAAAATCCTGTTGGGGGGCAGGGAGTCAAGCAAACAAGTCCATGCTGTAACACAATACCGTAACACAGGCTTTTAAAACTCATAACTCCAGCTTAGTTTACAAGCATGTTTTAGTTTCAGACTGGCTGTTAAAGCCCATACTGCTAATGCACAGTGGCCAAGCTGAAATCTTAGTTCAGGCTATTTTTAATACTTTCTAAAAGTTGACATTTGGTATAAACACACAGTGTGGGTGGATATGGAGGCAATTACATAAACACACAATCTAATGCAACCCAGTGCAACAGGCAGTCAATAAAGATTAGCTTTATAAATCTTTGTCTTTTTGGCTCTGCCTCCATGTCACTCCCTCCGCTTTAAGCCTAATGGATAAAAGTCACTGCGGCTTCTTAAAAGTGCAATACTCGGAGGACTTCATGTGGATCTTTTTATTGAATTTGCTGGAGCTGCTTTTCTCTGTTCCAGATCAGTGTACTGTTGTCTTGGGGTGTGGTGCCCTTACGTAAAACCAGTTTGCGACATATCTTTCTCTGCTTAATGGCTCAATGTTACCCCCATCGGTCTGAAATGGAGCTTTTCAAATTAAAGGTAACACAGTTTTCAAAAGATGATCAGACATAGTTATGGTCTCAAATGGGATCTAACCAGGTATGTCACAGGTACACGATATACCTTACACATTAGTTTTGATTGCCTTTTTAGTGTATTACTGTTTTCTGTCATTTCTTATGGTATGTGATTTCTTGTTGAGACGTCTGCAGTATTTGTATAAAGGCTCATCAATACAGCAAATAGAACAATAGGTGTTGCAAACTACTGTATCTTAGTCTAGATATGCTGTGGTATAGTTTATTTTTATGCCATGTACTTACATATACATTATAAAGACAAACATGAAATTAAAATGACTTCGAAGATATTTTTGTAACTATGCTGTTACAGTACATGGCACCTTTAAAATGCAGTGTGTGAGTTTTCCATAGGGTGGGTGTAACTACATTATAAAAGATTTTGTGTTGTTACACAACACTAACGGGACAGTCACAACAGTGCTGCGTAATACTTGAGGAGCTGAATGTGAGGACATCTTTGAATCAGTGGTGGAAGAAGTACTTTGCTTACTTAAGTAAAAGTACCAAGTACTGTATAAGAATACTCTAAGTAAAAGTCCTGCATTTAAAATGTTGTTTAAGTAAAAGTACAAAAGTATTGGCATCAAAATATTTAAAGTACCAAAAAGTAAAAGTACATATTATGCAGAATAGCACATTTGACATTAACGTTTATCATATAATTGTATTACAAGTACCGAGGCATTATTGTGTTCATCACTTTAATGTTGCAGCCAGTAAAGGTGGAGCTCATTTCAATTACCTAACATGTTTAGAATTTACTGTACTAATGGGCATTTTGTGAATTTTCTACCAGGTATCAATAAAGTGAAGTGATTATGTTGTATATTGGATAGCTAACTGAAGTTATCCAATAAATGTAGTGGAGTAAAATGTACAACAGTTGCCTCTTAAATGTAGTGAAAGTCTGAAGCAGCAGAAAATGAAAAAACTCAAGTACACATACCTCAAAATTGTACTTGAGTAAATGTACTAAGTTACTGCAGAATACAGCATGATTTCCTCATCATAGAAATGTGGATTTGTTCTTCCTCAAGCAGAGCATCTGTTACACAGCTACATCTGTCACAACTAATTAACAAGCAAACAACAACAAGAACATATTTAAAACTTAATATACTTCCTCGATTCTTGTTTCTTATTAGTTGTCTGAAATATCAGCTAAGTGGATACAAGGTGCCCGACAGCAGACCCCTCCTGTCAGGTCCTCGGAGCTGGCATCAGACAAAGGTCAAGGAAGGGAAACACTGAGTGATGTCATGCTGCCGGCGGACCAAACACCATTTTCCTATGATGTGGATTATATGTTAGGAGACGCAATGTCCAGTGGGTGAAACAGGGACAAAGCCAAGACTTACTTTGCACTGCTGATGGTGTCCTTAGCTCTATCCCCATGAAGCATTGTTTAGAAAAAAAAAAGAAGAGCATTTTCAGTTATTACAGCCATTAAATAATGAAAGCATCTTTGGTAACTAGTCTGTTGACAGCTATAGGCAGATAATTTTACCTTTTCATTTGCAATATACCAACAAATCCGCACAGCTGGAGCTGTCAACACATCCAGTCGTAGCCCTTGACATGCATACAAAAACATGACTGCTGTAACAGAAACAAGATACAGTACACTGGCTGCAAGAACACGGAAAAAAGTGTCAGTCATTGTTGAGAACAGTGACGTGCCAGTGTGAGAGGTGACAGCGGTCATATGACAGGATTGCGTGCACGCCGAGACCTTTACAGTAGGTTAAAAACAAAGTGCTGTCAAAAGTAAAAATAAATGAATAACAATAAAAGATACATTAAATCAACTACCAACTAGAATTAAATATATACTGTACATGAATAGTGTCTGGTAATATTTTGGGCATGCTTAGTACATAGCCTACTGTATGTTGTGTTATAATGATAAGGTTTAATTTGATTTACTGCTTCTCCTTCAGCAGACACAAGATATTAAATTTGGGTAAGTGAGGTGAGTGTAAGAGCATCATTTATTTGGGATGGGAAGATTTCCAGTCCTATCACACTCTGCATCCTGAGCTTAATATTCTTAGATACTGAGGAAATGGGAGAAAGAAATAGGAATGAAGAGAAATATCGACTGAAAACGAGAGGCAGAGGTGGAGGCAAAGACATCAGAGGTGGAGAGTAGGCCAGCTGTATTCAAGACCAAGTAGCACATTGTCCCATCTGAAAAAGTCATCACTCTCTGCAGCGCTCGCATGACAGGGGAAATAGTCATAACAAGCCCAGGACAGATGACATGTTTCATATGGATGTTTTCCCCGGCAGACAGCCAAGCAGACAAGTCGCAGCATGAGCAAAGTCTCGGCCGAATTGACTGCGATGACAGATTTCTACGTGCATCTCACACTCAGCATTATCATTACATCCAAACCGATGAAAGAGCTCCAATATGTGCAGTCATCTTTTTTACCGATTCATGTCCCCGCTTACTGGAGGAAACAGACAAAGCTGAAAAAGCGACAAGCAGACTGTTCACAAAAAGCCACATTTTATGAATCTAGCTTTGATTAGTCAGTGAGTGAGTCTTAACAGTTCATATGTAAAAGGCAAGCCAATGAAAGGACAAGTTATAGTATGTGTTTCCTGTGTTGGCTGTCGGTTGACACCAATGGAGTCGCACGTCAAAACATACCTTTCCTCACTTGTACAGTGGCTGGAAACATAAAAGGCATTATTCTAGTGTTTTTCATTTCTATTTTTATTTATTTTTTACATATACAGCATTTTTTAGGGTGATTCTTCAGGAGAAAGCCGTTTCAACAAAAACAAACAAAGAAGTCAATGGATTGTCAAGTGAAACCTGGACATACTCTCTGATGCTGTGCGTTTTGGCGCCATTATCATAAATAAAATTCTACAGAGGCAGAAATCTCAGCTATGTCAACACCCGGGCAAGTAAATTCGGACACCATCCCCTTTATCTTTATCTTTATCGAGGGTTAAAATGATGTTTATACTACTTTGGCACAGCGAATACATTTAGAATGGATGGTAAGGCAGCCTGGGTTCAAAAGGTTTTTTTTTTTTGTTTGTTTTTGCATCAAGAAAATGTTTTAATTCATGCATCTGTAAAATGACGGCTCATAGTTGTTGTTGAGATTAAGTAAAGGCTGTTTTCTAGGTTAAATAATGAAAAGTCAGTAGGGAGAGAGGACAAGCTTACTTTTTCATTAGTTTAGATTCTTCCCAAGTCAAACTGTATAGTATAAACTGTATGTGCTGGATAGTCTAAAACTTAAGTGAAGGGCTTCCAGTGTCTCGGCAATTCATTTTTATGCCTTTCATTCACCGTAACAAACAAGACTACACCACTTCAATGTTCTACAAGACTTGCATGCCAGGTAAATGAGAAAATAAATATTATAAAATATTTAAAAAAATGCTCTATACATAACTGGATGTTACAATCATCTACCATCATGGACTGGCAAAAAGATACAGAGGTAGATGATTCTATGTTGTTCGTTTACAACACTGCAAACTCGTAATGAATAATGTTTGTCCCATTATATGCATTTGCAGGACACTGATCACAGGTGACAATGTAGGTCATCTGGATGTGAACCATAACTAATCATACAGGCACGTCGCTATGACGTCAGAGGCTGTGAACGACAGCACTAACTGTAGTCTGTCGTACCGATTACCATCCAGTACCCTTGCAGAAGGGTAGACCATTTATAGTCTTCATACAGCTGATGGTTAGGGACCACAGTACTGCGAGGTGAAAGACAAAGCATGACCGACACTGTTAAAACTCTGGGTTTGGTAAGAGTGGCACAGGGAAGGTCAATGTTTATCTCATCAGTCTCTGAGGTCACCACAGAGGCAGTGGTGCCAAGTGACGTGAGAGGCAAGATGGCTAAGATGGGGTGTAATTCTGCTTTAGAGGAGTTGATTCCTAAAACACAATCTATTTTGATATCCAAATTGATTGATATCCAAATTGATTGATTTAAAAGTGAAGCAGCAAAAACATAATTAAATGATACACTGATAATTTTCTATTTTTTTAAATATATTTTCTTCTTTGTTTGCACTCAGTTTTATAAACATACTGTATGAACTGTATGTGCCATCCTGTAGGTCCTGCACATAAGCATGCTATGCAGTTCATTTCATTTGTCAAGACAGAAGGTCTGCATATATAAAGAATGTAATCTGGGATTTGATGTTTTGGTTTTTAGCTGTCTTTAAAGCACACAGACATAAAACTGCAGGTTGCAGGTTAAATGTCACCAAATTGCCAGTCTCAGGCCATCTGAGTGGAGAGACAGAGCTGAATGGCATATATAGTTTTAGCTTCCTACAAGAAGAATATGGATTAGAATAGAGTGTGGGGGGTGGATATCACTGATATGGGAGAAACGCATCAATAGTGGTGCATTGTCACATTTTCATGTTGCAGAATTTTTCAAATGCTAATAAGTTAAATGTTATTTAACTTTGGTAAAAATCATGAATGATTCAAATCTATCAGCATTGCTAGCATACATTGCAGTTTGTTTATGCACAACAAGGGCTTAAATGAAAGTGTTAGGCCACGTTCAGACAGAGTTTCAAAGGTGTGAAAAAATCTCCCCATTCATTTCTATAGGGGATTGGGTTCACCGCAGCTGTCACCAGCACGGCAGGGAGCTCTGGGAAAACAGTGCAATCCCGTGTGGTGAAAAAGTAGGAACTGGTTCAACCTTTTCTGCACCACATATGGCAAGGTGTTGTGTTGACTGGTCATACAACAGGAGGATGGTCAGGACGTGGGCACTCACAAGAAGAAAATTATGTTGACCACGTTACTGCGGTTATCACAGCTGCAGTGATAACACAGTAACATTTTTGCTAGTTATTGGATGGAGGCTAACATAGGGTACCTTAGCAACATGCTAACCAAAATGAAAACTTGTGGGGTGGAAATGTGAATTTCACAACGTGACAATCACCCGCCCACCACCCCCCCCCCCCCACCACCACCAATGCATCTCCTTGCTTAGGTGTTGTATTTCAATGCATTCAGTCTGAATGCCTGCTTAATGTGGGCAGTTTTCCCATAGAAAAAAAATAACAAAAAAAACTATTAATATTCTAAACCCCTCCTGAACCAATGTGTGGCCTTTTCAAATGCAAAGTACTGCATAGAGACTAAAAAAGGGATACAGACCAAGAGCCTGCAACAGAGACACACAGAGGGGAAAAACAGACATGCAGAAAGAAAGAGAACATGATCATTAACAGCTCCAGAAAATGTAGGACAGTCCAATGCAGATAAATAAGTGAAACACGTATGTGGGAATAAGTGTTGACCAGCACATAGGAACATTTGACTGGGTTCTAATTGCTCGGGATTTAGCTTCTAATTATGTGTGTATGCTTGTTTGCGGATAAATTAATTCCTGCTCACAGGGCACATGCCCTAATGAAACAATGCCTTTAATTGCATTTCTGCTGCCATCCAGCAACATGGGAAAATGAAAAACACAACATGAACCCCGGTCTGAAAATCAGCTCATTATTAAAAACAATTGGAGAGCTGCAATGTTTTTGCTTAATTTAGCTGAGGGGAAAAATATGAACTATATGGCACTTGAGGACTGTTTATACTGCATGACTCAGACTTACTGTTGTCACAGCTTTGTATAACTACACAAGTTGTTATGAACACACAGATACCACATATGCATACAAATAACATACTGTATATACACACCTAGAGTGTGTAGTATACAATATTTTCCCTCGTGTGTGTATATATGTGTGCAAGAGCCCCTTTTTCCTTGCACTTCTTTCTGCCTTACTGTACAGTACCTGGTCCTGGTCTCTGTGAGTGTCTGTTTGTTGAATGACCTTTCTTTACAATACTCCTGGCCCTCCCAGTAAGCCACTTCTCACACAACAGAAACTGTACATCAGTGTGGAAAAGCCAGACTGGGAGTTTTTACAACACCTCCACACAGTTGCAGGTCAAAGCGTAAGGTCCCGGGTCTCTGGTGGAAACAGGCATCTGTTAAACAGGACACGCTACAAGTGGAAAGCTGCAATTGTTTGGTGCAACCAGATGTCAGGCTTTTCAAAATATTTTTACTGTAAACAAACATGTCCACTGCTGACTAAATTGGCAGCCTGTATGGGCCTTCACTCAACTCTCTTACTAGAAACTGAATGTACATGCAAGCATGTGGCATCCTCCTAATATATGAACAACATAAATTTGTCCACCCCGGTGTTTGTAACAACCATTCATGAAATGCTTAAAGAAAACTAATTCAACCAGACAGCACTCAGAGAGCGCAAAAGTCTCAGTTTCCCCATAATGCCATTACACCTAAAAGCAATACTCCCATGGAAGTCTGACCCTCATAATATGATAGCCTGACCATCAAAACCTACTGCTGGCATTTGGAATGACGCTGACATCATTATTAGTTTGTAAGTTATTCAAGAAAAGTTATAAATATGAGCTGTTTGTACATGCCACCCATGGCTATATAAATGTTGAACATTTTGAAGACATAGTGGCACATACAGACTCAGCTTCCTCTTGTGGACCAAACATTTCTGGAGATTGGTTGAGTGAGCACGATGACTGCATCTTTATTAAAACATGTCTACACAACCATCCAGCTGGAGGGTTTAAAGGCTGAAAGGGAATCATTTCTGTCTGGTGGACTGTGTGTGGATATCAGCATGAAATGGTCCACGAATTCTGTTCTGTGGTTGTGTCCAAACACCGTTCTCTGCCGGTGAACTTTATGATCATGAAAGGCCAGCCACAGTATCTGCAGAGTTCACTGCCACTAGGCGCTGATCTCAACTTTTCATTTGTAAGAAGAAGAATGGGTTATTTCTTCTTCCAGAACTTACATAGTCCTACTTTTATATCATTTAATGGTGTACAGCCTGAAGTGTAAGTTTATAGTTTATAGAAAAAATTGGAAAAGAAAGATATTTTGCCCACAGAAGCTACTTGTGTGTAGTGACAGGACAAAACAATGAGGTTTATTGTTGATGATCTCTTTACAGATGCTACTGGTAGCAATCTGTTACATTTTGGCAGCAAACCTCCAAAAGATTGAAGGTCATCAAGCAAACAAACAATACTACATCCTTTATCTAGAACTTCCTGATAAAGACATTTTCCATATTTTCCTTTTTGTACAGCACTTGCTGTCAACATTGATTCAGGTTAAATGTTGAGAGAAGTTCTATTCACAATGGCAAAAATGTTTTATATAACAATGTAATTTCCAATCTAATGGCTGTTGCTGTCAAAACATATTTCTGTCTTAAGTCTCACACTGTCCTTTATCTCTGGGCTCCTCTTCCTCACCATCTGTCTCTTTTAACTTAGCCTCTTCATATCTTCCTCTGCTGCTTGGTTTTCTACTCCCACTAATAATTTCCCTTTCCAGTCACAGCTCCTCAAAACACCCACTCACCTCACACACCCACCGACCCAATGTGTGAATCATCATCCCTGCCAAGGAACACACACACACACACACAGGCACAGCTCACACACATACAGAGAGCTACCACATGAATCGGCTGCGGTGCTGTAATAGATAGGCAAAGCTTTGCAAGGTGACACTGCGTATCCATCACTGGGGCTTATCTGTCGGCGAAGCGGGGCGGTTCAACACAATGTAGCCAGATGTAAAGGAGGCAAGGAGGGAAAACATCCTGACTCTTCTTTTTTTTTTTTGCAAACCACCTAGTGCACTGCACCGTATGGGAAGGGAGATGTGGAGAAGGAGTAGGACAGACAGAGTTAACAAGGAGAATAGTGAGTAGCAGCTGCTCTGTAGGTACCAGCAAAGAAACAGGTTTGTGAGGGGAAACAAAATTCTGCAGATAAACAGGTTTGCCAGCTAACTTAACCGAGGCTACTTTGCCTTCAAGCATCTGCCCTTTGTGAAAAAGTGGTTTGACATTTTAGTGAAAATGCTCATCTGCTTTCATTTCAAGAGTGAGATTGATAGTATCATTCACATCTGTGCACTAAATATGGAATTTACTGCTGGTCACTACCTTGTTCTCTCATTAGGCAGGTACTACACACGATGCTTTTCAGAGCTTTTCCACTGAAAACAGGTGGCTGCTGTACTTGAAAGTATTAATGAGTGGTGAAAGTGAATCAAAACAAAGTTGTGCATCATAAAACCAAAAAAAGGAGGCAGATGATGCTGAAATGCTTGCTAACATTAGGGGGAAACAGCAGTTTTTTTTAATTCATTTATTTGTCAGCTTTTACTTGGTTTGTCATTACAAACGACTACTTTCACGTTACACATGGCCATGTGATTCATGATTAGCACAAATTTACTGATTAGAGCAGCTTTAAGGATCGGAGGGGGTTCAACAGGCCGAGCAAAGATCGGCAGGGACAGAGGAAGAATTTGTCACATGTTGTCTGTACAAATCTTTACATTCATGACAACGGTACATCTGTGCTACAGGGAGATAATCTCTATGATGACATTACCAGTATCTGGCAGCACTCCGTGGTTTTCTGTCACACACATCAAACCTCACAGCTTTATCTCACCCCAGCTATTCAGAAAGGGGCTTATCACTAGTGACAAAGGCACAATTTGCTGCAGCACGTGTGCACAGGTTTTCTGAGTGATTCAACACATGTTAGAGAGACATGGTGCTGAGTAGACATCAAGGTTAGACATCAAGGCTATTGGTTTTGTATATAGTTTGCCTCAGTTGACTAAAGCAAAACAGGAACAGTGAGAAAAGCGATCACTTCAGTGTTGTTCATGCTGAGTACAGTGTGTGATTTCTAAAGTGAATTCTGGGATTCTACAGATGCAGTAGAACGTATCATAATAACTTTCCATCACGGTAACTGATAGGCTGTCTGGGGGAAAAGGAGCAGTCCTGCAGCCTGACTCTTGTGTCTCATTTTCACTAATAGGACATCGCACTGGGGACGATTCTGGCTCAGAGAAAACAAGAAGCTCGTACCGGAAAGTGCCCAGGGAAAGCAACGGGACAGACGCAACAAGTTATAATGAAAGTAAAGATAGAGGAGGAGGAGGAGGAGTGGGATGTAAGAGAAAGATAGAGGATGAGAAAGAAAGAGAGTGAAGAGGAAGAGCCAAAGCAGTAATCTCTGCTTTTTTGTTTTACACTGAGGAATTAGGTCTAGAGCTGGGAAATTCAAGTTATGGAGTGGGAGAGGTGAGACCAGCAAGCACACACACGCACGCACGCACGCACGCACGCACACACGCGCGCACACACACACACACACAGGGAAGTGTTTATGCTAGCAGATGCTATAGACATATCTAATCGAAAGACCATCCTGCAGTGGTCTTTCATCATATTGCATCATCTTATAATATTACAAAGCATGGTAATGTGAGGCTGCACTATGAAAATAATAGTAATAGCAGTCTAGCCTGAGGGAGTTATGTGTGCAGTAGAAGCAAATATGACTTGGAGTGGATGTTAACCATGCTATTACTCTCTCAAACTCCCAAACATGTTGCAAACTTGCCAAAGAAGATGTAATGTATTGCTACTACAGCTGCTGCTCACACTAAAAAACACTAAAGCCATCCAATAGGCTTCAAAGACAACATTTGAAACATATATGACAAACACCATGAATCTTACCGGATTACTTGACTGTAATAAGCTCATTATTTCCACAACATCTGAAGAGATTCAAGGAATCACTTGACATCCGCTCATACTGGGGCCAATGGTAAAGTAGGCCTTGGCCTGTCCTTCCTGATTTCCCTAAGTCAGGTGTGGTGATTTTTCTTCTTCTCTGAATTTTGCAGCAGCTGGCTTCCTTCGTGTTCTGTTACTGCCTCCCTCTGGATGTAATCCCCATGGAGGCCCATTCCATCCTGTCCAGTCACTCTCAGAAACCAGTCAAGTCCCAGTTTTACTATTCTGTAACTATTTCCTGTTTTTGTGCTTTAAAATTCCCTGTTATGTTACAAGAGCACTGCATATACCGTTTCTTTTTAATGAAATGGTTAATGACTCATCAGATGTTTTTTCTATAATAAAAAGGAGTAGTGTTACATTGTTACTTTTGTAAGCTTTAGAGGTGCTACTAGACAGACTTACTTTCAGTACTTTCATGTGATCCGATATTATTATATCTGCTGACTTGGACCTGTGGTGGAGTGATGCAGTGGTTAACACTGTCGCCTCACAGCAAGAAGGTTCTGGGTTCAAACCTTGTGGCCAACCATGGTTCTTCTGTGTGGTGTTTGCATGCTCTTCCCGTGCCTGTGTAGGTTTTCTCCGACTTCCTCCCACAGTCCAAAGACATGCAGACCAGATTAATTGGGGACTCTAAGGGCTCTTTCAGACTCTACGCAGCCACGAATGCTTCCAGTTTTTGCAAGAAGGGCTTGGTGCGTACTTGTGTAACAAAATGTGTCATCCTAAACTTTGCAATGTGATGTGAGAGTTATTTCACACATTTCCTGTTGGGGTGCTAATGCAAATACTGTACTGTCACTTTACTCTGAAGTTTTGTTTTTTTAACAGAAGAACTGCTTCCAGTGTCAAAAAAGGGGGTTGTGTGAAGTTGTTTGTTTTCATCAGCATCTTTATATATAGCATCTTTTTTTTTACTGGTGACAATTTAGCAGAAGCAAAATGATAAATCACATGACCCGATCAGGACCATGGGCCCATGGCTCTTGCTCTCTGCTGGGTGAGTGCATCAGCCAAGACACAGGGCAGTCAATGCTTATATGTACAGAAATACTGGCATGACCCTTGTGTTTACAGCTACGTTTACATAGTTTGCATAGAGTCTGAAACAGCCCTAAGCTGGCCATATGTGAGAGCAGTTGTCTATGTGTCAGGCCTGTGATAGACTGGCGACCTGTATGAGGTGTACCCTGCCTCTTACCCAGTGTCAGCTGGGATTGGCTTCAGCCTCCTGAGACACTCTTATCACAAACATGACTTGGAAAAGTGAGCAGCTAAAGTTTCCCTTACTTTCCAAACATCCTCATCATCCAGCTTCATTCGTATGAACCTTCCATCAGGAAATTTATTTTTCCAGCGTATCATATCCAACAGCATGTGCCCACAGGGATGCATTCTGTACAAATATTCCATAACAATCTGTGCAGCTGATTTACCCACTTCCCTGCTTAATCATCCATCTTTCCGTTGTTGATTTCTTTTTAAATCTTTCTGTATTTTGTTAGAGTGATTAGCCTATGTATTATATTATTGCTTTGCTGCCAGCTGCAAATTGCCCAAGAGAGACTATGAAGTATTAAAGTCTATAGTCTGAGCCATTAAAGCATGTGTTCTTTATAGCAATTGTGTGGACAAATGAAATAAAAACACAAAAAGATGGCGTGTGTGCTGAGTAAAATAAGCTGCTGTATGCATGTTATAGCAAATCAGTTGTGTATTTGCAACTAACAAAACATATTACTGTATGTTTACTTAACGTTGTCTGTGGAAGACATTTTCAAGCACAGCTCATTGTAATTTAAATCTTTGCCAAAAGTTGGTCTCTGCAGAATTTCCCTGACAGCTACTGGCATATTGTAGCCATGATTTTGGAAGTTTAGTATATTATAGCAGTGCATGTCTGTACCTGAGATATTATCTAACAGCAGTTACTATATTTGGCCTTGTTCCTTTCCAAATTACTGTGTGCCCTTATCTTTCAGTGATTTAGGAATATGAACTAACAGGTGTTTTTACTGAAACTGGTCTCTGTGATAGAAGAATGCTAAGGGCCGTATGAGTGGGGAGGTGTTGTCTTAGGTTCAGATAAAGAAATATGATCCAAGAAATCAGCCTGAGCAACAGATCAGCCATTTCCAAGGAATGGCTTTACAGCTCTGGAAGGTTATCACACCTGCAATCATTTTATTATCAGGTAGAACAATGGCATTCACAAGTCATCTACCAGGAATTTGCATTTATTTGACGGGCCATCACGGCTCCTTGCCAGGTAACGTCACACTGCATTTTGGCAAAAGTTGAGCCAGACTCAGCCTTTGGCTGGATGACCCTGCATCAGTGTGGTGGGCCCCGGTGCTGAACTATAAGCACTGGATCATTTGACCCACTGACTCAACTTAGCCATTCCTCCAGTACTTTAAGAATCACCAAATGATGACAGCATTATTGGTTTATTTTGTATACCAATAATGCCATCATAATGTATTTCAACAAGTTAATTTTATCTAATAATGTATGATTGATAGATAGATAGAGGAAGAGAGAGAGAGGTGACAAATTAAAGGAAAACCCTGAATAAATGAGTGGTCTCTTCCAGGATGGCGAATGCCCCCATCCACAGGAAATGAGGGGTCACTGAATGGTTTGATGAGTATGAAAATGATGTGAATCATATGCTTCACAGTCATTAGAGCTCAACCCAATAGATAAAGGAAGTGGAGGATTAGCAGTTGTTTCAAGACTTCTCCCTTGTCCTGACCTTCTTTTGGAAGTACTACTGACCTATTTTTACTCTATTTCTGACAGAAAATAGTGCTCCCTGAGTTTTTTTTAATTTGTTTGGTGGTCAGCACAGAGAGAGACAAATATAATCCATTTTCCTCCAGCAAAATCTACCTGAGGAAATCAGGAGAAATCAAAGAGTGGACTCTTGCGAGTTTCAGGGCTTATAATAAACCTTTGACATGCACATTGTATTCACCAAATCTTCCAGGTGTAAATGTATGAAATGATGTGAGTTTGGAGCAAAGCATTTAGTGAGCACGACCATCCCTGTTGAGGGGAAAACAGATTATTTGACTGGAGTGCAGTACTGCATAAGAAAACTTAACAGCAACTTTAAAGTGAACTGATTCTTTCCCTTTGTCTGTATTTGTGGGCAGATTTGTGAGGAGGAGGAGGGCAAAGGATTTCTGGGATGCACAGACCCTCCTCACATCCCCCCTTCCTCCTCCATTTCTCTCCCTTCCTCAGTCAGGAAACCCCCAGCTGATTTGAATGGAAACCAGATCTCTCATCTCCAGTCCGCATGTTGTGCTGGGATGTCCTGGCCTCGTTATCCTGCTCATTATACTCCCCTCTTCTTCCCGAACATAAATACTATCTCACCCATGTCTTCTCTGTCTCTCCCTCTTTCTCTCTGTTTCTCATTCTAGCTTTCTAAGTCTTACTCTGTCACTATTTGTCTCTCAAACTCCTTCCACACAAGGGTTCCCAGTTGACCATTAGAGGATCAGTGATGTATTCAACTGCTCATTAGTCATCATGACTGACAGCTGGTATGGTGGGGGGGCCACACTGATGGGTCAGCCTGTCACCTCCGGGTAATGTCTTGATTTAATTTCAAGTGAGTGTGAGAGAGGGGAGTAAAAGAGGACATAAGAGAGAGAAACAGAGAAAAAGAGAAAGAAAGGCGAAGATTGAGAAATGGGGGGGGGGGTTGTGTGTCACATTAAGACATGGCTCACACAACTAACTGTAAGGTTCAGTTAAAAAAGTGACAACAATTAAGGTTTGACAGATGGAGACTGAAGGGGAATATGTGGAAGCACTGGAAAAGAGGGATGAAGACAATAAGGAATAGACAGATGAAGGGAGGATGATTTCAATGAATTATGACCATCAGTGTGAATGCGTATATGTAATAAACTTGTTGGGGCCTTTGTTAAAGCTTGTACTATTAAGCAATGCCATCTTAATATGAATATAGACTACAGGGTTCAAATAACAAAATAAGTAGAGAGCACAGTTAATGAAGCGTTTTTAAATTTTCCTTCTGTCCTCAAGGTATTTACAGTGAATTAATACATAGCAAATATTTACATCAAATGTGCATTTGCTGTCTACAAAGCATAAGTGAGGTGAAATGTGTCATATAACCCCCGTGGACACACAAATCGTCTCAACAAGTCTTCCAATGGAAATGACAAAATACATCATTCATTTTGTCCATGCTTTCTAAAACGACACATTGAAACATTTTCCAGTATGACACCTCTATCTACAGGATGTTAACATCTGCCTGTGCCCTCCACTGTTACAGATCCCTGTTGAAATCTGTTTTATGATGTGACAACACTACGGTTAAGGTTTGGTTGGGCTCAGATACTCTTTCACTGCTAGTTGGAAATGAGGAAACAAATAGCGGTCCAGCATTTTGTCAGCTCCTCCTTCTCCCTCCTCTCTATGCAGATGCTGTAACAACTTCACCTGACTTCATCCTCAGCTCCTGTCTTAATTACTATGGGCTTTGTCACATGAACATAACAATACAGTCTAGACCATAGTATTTGGATAATTACATTTTTTTTTTCTTCAGGCTCTGGGCAGCTCAGTCAATTTAAAATAAAAGTAATGGATACATGTAAGTGCCAAGTTTCAGCTTGAATTTGTTTAAAAAAACACTGTAAGCAGTTAAGTTTCAAAGTACAGACCAACTCCCTAAGGCTGTGAATCCTGCAGACTTCCTCTCATTAGCCAGTGATATGATAACCTCCTGATGACATCACCGCTCATCCATCATTTGACTGGTCGGAGTTCTGCAGCCGTGATTTCACTGATAGTGATTAGTGACTGTGGTCATGTGCTGATTGTAGTAACACTTCAGGCAATTGTATACCAATTGTGTGTGCTTTTGTGCACAGACACTCATGGCACCTCAAATTTCACGGTTAGACTTCGGGTAATATTATCTGACCACATGCACACACAGTGCTGACCGTAGTTGCACTTAATTACAGTGTTTGCTGTGTTG